CATATGCCGCTATTTAGTTCTTTTATTTTCTACTTTTCAGTAACACTATCAGTAGGTCGTTAAGGACGATAACCCCCCCCCCCCACCCCTACTTTCCCCCTACCCTACCCCCCCCCCCCGTGAAAGCAGCCTCCTCTTAGCTACCTCCCCTAAATTTAAAATCGTTTGAAACTAAATTATCTGCCCCTAATAGCCGTCACTAAACCCGGCTCTACGATAGTAAACATTTAGCGTGAACCACAGCTCACCAGACCATGTGGGGGTGGGGGCGGTAGGGATATGCCTAGAGAGGAAGAGAGGGGTCTGCTAGACGCGCTTACAGCATGGTGTTTTCCGTGGTCTCCATGAAGAGAATTATATATATAGAAGATAGTACACTGCTATTTGTAAGCCCTGTTAGGGGGGGGGGGGAATAACTATGCTACGTCCCTAGGCTTAACTAATAACTGTACGGTCAGTGCAACCGTGGTAGACCCACGGTGGTTAAACCCTAACCTTAGTCTAGGTAAAAAAAAACACAAAAAAACTTTAACAATTTATGGAATTTTTGCATTAAAAAATGGAACAATAAAAATCGTAAAGTCAAATTCAAAACATCCTAAACAATCATCTAATGAAACACTAAACAAACAAAACACACAACGTTCGATGGAATATTATGTACATTTGATGCCTCGGATAGTCTAGGCTCTGACCACACAGACAACCTCCCTATCCCCTACGGCAACCGAAACGCCATCTAATATCCGCACCAAACACACAAAACATCAAACAACACAATACATTCAAAACAATACATTCAAAACACTACATACAAAACACTACATACAAAACAATACATACATACAACCAAATTTCACAAGCAACCTCACTCCCCGCACGAGGAGCGCCAATCGCCCACACAGAAACTGACCAGATCTATATCTACATTCTACTCCTGTCAAAAGAAGGACAAATCCGAGCGGTCAGTTTTTTTACCCACTTCGGGCGGAAGGGGAAACCCCGTAGCCGCTGTCCGGTTGACCATTCACGCACAGATTCGCACACAATAAAATAATACAAAATAAATCATCCATTCACCCGCTCACATATATATTAAATAACTGTAAAGTACATAGGAATTTTTGGAATCATTTAAATCCTTCCCGAGTCGGAAAAAATACAACTTTATGGCTGAATATCTGCGTCAACACGATCACTTTTGTACCTTTTCAGATTATTATAACTACTTTTCTGTATGTCTATTCAAACCTTGTAACCAACCATAACTTTTGCCGAACCTTGGTCTAAATGGAGCGTTTGCTAACTAGCAGTATTAATTGATTTCATTCCGGAATAATCAAAGGATTTTGTTTACATTGGATGCTGGTTTATTTGAATTTCCATTGGTAAACATTGACAGAGACCGCTTAACTGTTTCGGAGCTTACGATCAATCGGTTCATTACCAAACACGAGATCTGTCTGAAGGGGAGGGGGTAGTGTCACAGAGGCGTCGCCATGGGAGAAGCACAAGATCGACCACTCACCCTGAAACTGTAATTGTCAGGACATTGCGCAATTTTTAGAGCTATTCCCCTTAACAAGTAAACCAAGAAAGTAAAGAAAAAATAATATCATCTAATATATAAAGTTCAATTCTGAATGTTTATATGTTTGTAATCGAGGATTGAAAAGGAACATAAGAAAAAACAAAAAACAAAGAGACCTCGATGGATTAAGTGTTAGATTATTAAAGTGCTCATGGTCTAAATTTATGAGTTAAAAAATCAATACTGAAAGTGTTGGGAAATAATTTTCATTTTTCTAACTGAAAGTAATAATTGTCGGCATGTTCATTAAACACAATTTTTAAAAAATATCATCTTTTACAAAAATTCTAATTATGTCTGAAAATTATTTATATTTAGTCCTTTAGCACTTACTTCCCTTTGATAAATTAGGAAAACACAATTACTTCCCTTTACAGAACATTGCATTAGTGGAAAAGAATTTACTTTTTATTACTTTGTTTTAGTGTTGGGAAAAAACATAATTACATAATTAGCGGGGATTGATCGAGTGCAAATGTTATAGGTATTTTTAATACTGCCTTTTATTTATTCTATACGCTGAACTTACTGTTTACTAATTATTTTTAAAAATCAATAAAAGTTAATAAGCCAGGTCCTACATGTCCTATATGTTTATTTCTTTCCGTTTACGGATAAGCTTGGAGTATTATAATTGTCCACTGGCGCCCAGACAGGGTGCTATTTGGGGCCCCGGGCCTTCCGTGTTCGGTTTGGCGCCTACGTTCGTTTAAGTGAGTGCAAAAGACTATGAATGTTGGGGTATTATAGTCGTTTATTAAGCTGAAACAGGCGATTCCGCCGGCGCCCCAGCATTGTGCGATTTGGCGCCCCTGGGTAGACTGTGAGCACTATGCGTTTATGTTCGCGTTTGTGTTTTCTTTGTGTTTAGGTTGGGTTTGCGTTAGTGGTTGGGTTTGCGTTTTGATTTTGTTCGTTTTTGTTCTTTCTCCTTCGTTTTCGTTTGTGTTTTTTTTCTTTGGGTTTGTGTTTGTATTTGTGTTTGTGGTTGGTTTTGTGTTTGTGGTTGGGTTTGGGTTTGTGTTATCGTTTGTATTAGTGTTTGCGTTTATGTTATGTTTCCTTTCTTTATTTGTGTTTTGGTTTTGGTTGGTTGTGGTTAGGGTGGGCAATGCCGGGTATATGCTGATTACTAAACACACATGTCATGTTCCTTTACAGATAGGTTTCAGAAAGCTCTTTTATAGACACCTGCACCAAACTACAAGAAGATATAAAATTTTATATAATACTAGCCGTCCCGGTTTGTGTTGTGTTTTCTTTGTGTTGTGTTTTGTTTGTGGTGTGTTTGTTTGTGTTATGTTCGCGGTTCTTTTTTTTGTGTTTTGGTTTTGGTTGATTGTGGTTAAGGTGGGCAATGCCGGATATACGCTGATTACAAAACGCACATGTCATGGTCCTTTACAGATAGGTTTTTCACAGAGGCCAGAGCAGGGCCTTGCCGGAACGGCTAGTTATTTAATAATTTAAGAAGCGACCCACGCTTTTATTTCTATATATTTTATAGAAATAAAAGCGTGGGCCGCTTATTAAATTCTAGTAAAGGTATTTATTACATAATATTCCTACGCTTTTCTTTATAGTTATATTAATAGTCGTTCATTATTCAGTATTTCAATAAAATCAATTATTTTTCGCTTTTTAGTCCATTATTAAATTAAGCTTGTTATTAAAACTTTAATTATTATCCTAATCTTAACAATAATTCTAACCCCATAGCTTTTATACATTTTTATCTATTTCTCTGCGGATTTGTGGTAAATACTGTGCTGTAACTCCATTGTAATCAATTTCTAATACAGCGATTGCAATACTCTCTTATTTATTGAATTAATTTCTACATGAAATGTTTTCTTAAGCTATATAAATTTAGTTTCGTAAAATTTTAACGGCCGAAATATGAACCATATTGATACCTCTAAGTAAGCCTATCGTTAGGAATGTAGGAATTTTTTATTATGCGCATTTTGTTTTGTGTTAACTTGGTGTGCAATTTGAAGTGGATTGTTATCTTAGACAGATAATACAACAGGAAGCCACTTTTAATGTACGCCTTGTTTATTCTGTATCGGAAACGGAAACATAACATGCAAGGGACATCACTCAAACATTATTAGACTAATACAAGAAGAATGAGTTCCCCTCAATATAAAGCTCAATATATTACACAATTCTTTATTCTACGATATTCTATTCTATTTTAAAAAGATTAAGTAATTAAAAATCATGTCTATATCCCGAGTAACCATCCCCTGTAGTGTTTCATAAGAATATTAGAGAAAGTTTAGGGGAGATCACTCCCGGTTTATTGAAATTATTTTAACCTTACTATTTTACACATTTTATGCTTGTTTCATTATGCTTGTTTCCTCGAGTTTCCTCGAGGCATCTCTTTGGGGGGGGGGGGGGGGAGGCTTAGCCCTCCACGAGGAAAGTCTACTGCCCCCCCCCCCCGAAGGAAATGGAATTCATATAGAAAATATATACTTTTAACAGTGTCCGCCCCCGTCCGCCCCCCCCCCCCCCCGAAAATTTTAGTCCGCTCCCCCCCCCACCCCCCGAAAATTTCAAGTGGACCCCCGAAGAAAAAAGTCTGGAAGTAATTCTGTTTAAAACGATGTTCGGGCGGTGGGACCGCGCTTGCGTTTAAATTCTGCTTTTATTTTAATTAATTTTAATTACTTTAGTTTAAAAGTCTGAGTGTAATTGTATTCAAACATGTAATCTTTTGATAACCCCTCCCCCCCCCCCCCCCCCCCCCCCCCACCCAAACAGAACCAGAAATTTGTATTCGTGGAAATAGTTCTAAAATATTCATTTTAATTTACCCTGACCCGAACCAATTTGATGACGTCACTAATGATGCTGGAGGGACCATGATCGATTTTAAACTATCGATTTTTTACTCGGGCTGCGCACATAGCAATCGTCACTAGTGATTCGTGACTACCATATCTGACTAGACCATATTTTATACACATTTCTATGTGGACAACCTTTTATAATTAAGTCTATGTGGACAACCTTTTATAAATATTTCTATGTGGACAACCTTTTATAAATAAGTCTATGTGGACAACCTTTTATAAATATTTCTATGTGGACAACCTTTTATAAATAATTCTATGTGGACAACCTTTTATAAATAAATCTATGTGGACAACCTTTTATAAATAATTCTATGTGGACAACCTTTTATAAATAATTCTATGTGGACAACCTTTTATAAATAATTCTATGTGGACAACCTTTTATAAATAATTCTATGTGGACAACCTTTTATAAATAATTCTATGTGGACAAACTTTTATAAATAATTCTATGTGGACAAACTTTTATAAATAATTCTATGTGGACAACCTTTTATAAATAATTCTGTGGACAACCTTTTATAAATAATTCTATGTGGACAACCTTTTATAAATATTTCTATGTGGACAACCTGTAATGTATATATTTACGTAGACAGCGTTTTAAAACACGTTTATGAAGACAACGTTTTCTAAACATTTCTATACAGATAAAATTTGTTAACTGAATGGACAAGGGCACATGGTGCGTAATGTTAAGTTTGCTAGGGATGACATTTTTTTTTTAAAATTATATAGTTGACTTTGAAAAAAAATGGACATAGGCAACAAATCTGAGAATATTTACCTAATCCTGTGGTAACCCTAACCCTAATCCCGTGGGAGATATCAATAACTACTGACCTATTCATCTCGAACCGACCACGTCTTCACAAAATGACAAATTCCCCACTTAATGACCAATTAACTTCAGACTGACATCTTCACCAACATTTGACCACTTCAATGAAAGGCTGACCACTTCATTACCAACTGACCACTTCAATACCAACTGACCACTTCATCAACGATTGACTAAATCAAACTGACCACTTCTTCACAAAAGGAACACTTTATCACCAACTGTTTACTTACCACCAACTGACTATTTTATCATTAACTGATCACGTCACCTCCAAACATCCTCTTGACGACTTTTAGGAACAATCATTGGCGTAGCGAGGTCGGGTGTCACCCGGTGCGGCACCTAATTGTGTCGCCCCCCCCCCCCCCCCCCCCCACGAAAGAAAAAAAATTATAAACTGTGCTCAGAGAATATTAACTATTTTTATTTACAGTCGGTTATAAATACGGCACGTTTTCTCTATCATTAGCAGGTTTACGTCATGGTGACATCCATCTCCCTCTCCACCCTTGTCGGGATTTGTCAACTTTGCTCTGTAGAGACTACGAGCTGACCCGCGACGTAGCATACGCCGTTATCTAGTTGTTTTATTTTCTGCTTATCAGCAATTGAAGAGCCAAGTGCTAAGAGTGCTTAAGTCACATTTTTGTGAAAATCAAACCAAGCATTGATCGTTATTCCTCTAGTTCAACTTTAACTTATAAACAAATAGTAATACTGAAGAATTTATTTAAGTTGCTCCTCCAAACAAACAAATAATATAAAAACTTAATGTTTTATAGTAAATTTTAATCTTTGAACTCATTTATCTCAAAATGTTGTTTTTTTCCCACGTTTTCTTTAACTTGCTTTCGTCTCTGTTTGTTTGTTTGTTTGTTTGTTTTTCCAATCAAATCTTGCGATCGAAATTTTGGGCACTTCCCAGTTAGCTAGAGGGTTGAAATTTTCAGGGAAGCTTTGTTTCCGATGACAATAGAATATTCAATTGTTATTATTACTTAATTGATCCATGGAAACATTTTATTGATCATTTTAGACCTCTATATAATTGTACAAAAAACGTGGGGGAAAAAGGGACATAACCCAGTAACTGTAATTTGATGAAAACAAGGTTCGGTACTCTCCCTCTTTTTGCTTACTGGGTAGTGTTCACGCGGTGTTTGTGTACAAACAACCGTAACAACTGGTGGCCAGTATGGGCGAGACGATATGGTCGAGTGGTTGGGCACACGATTGCTATCCCACTCGACACGGATTCAAATCTATGTGTTCTAGTCAGTAACGTATTCACACAACGTTTTTTTTTTTACGAGTTGTCTTCGTTTACCCAAAAAAAAAAGTGAAAAGATAAAATTGATAGCAAGATTTTAATGCAAACAAACAGACAAAGACTAAAAAGTAGAAAATAATAATCATTAAAAAAGTTTTAAAAAACCCACGTTTTCTGATTGAACTAAAAAGTAGAAAATAAATGCTATACATCACAATAATGCAAGCGATCACTCTACTATAAGCGATGAAAAACGTGGGGCGCCGTGATTTTCTTACAGTTTCTAATACTGTTGACTCTCTACAAGCTCCCTAATAAAAGTCAATAGTATTATCTAATCCAGGGGTCTCCAAACTTTTCAGCCCGAGGGCCGCATTAACTATCAAATATCAGTTCGGGGGCCAGAGTTTCTTTAAGGCATCTCTTCAGGGTCGTGGCGCCCTCGCCCCCCCCCCCGAAAGAACGTCTACCTCCCCCCCCCACAACGAAATATAATTTATATAGAAATATACACAAATTTCAAGTGTCCCCCCCCCCCCCCCCCCGAGGTCCAAATTTGCTTTTAGGTGGGTGTATAGATCAGAAACTAGATTTCACTCTCTTGCCGTTTTAGGTTCAGAAAATTTAAATGACTAGTTATGTCTGCAGCAGAGGCCAATTTCTATACCCACTCTTCATCAGACAATAATGGCTGTGACTTGCCTTTACTATCAGGAAGTCACCTATTTCTTTTCTTAATCTTAGATACTCTGCTCAGAATTTTTTCACAAAATTAGCAATCTTATTGATGTGAAACATGGTAAATCATGCGATTTTTTGTTTGTCTCTGAACTATCTATGGTTAGATATCCTCTCCGGTAACAGTGTCATACATTCTATGTAGGGAAGCCTGCTCTTGTGTTATGTTCATGTCTTCATCCACACCTCTAATGAACACAAGAAGTTGAGAGGTGGAACAGCTGTCCAGCGACTCATCTATTGCAATTGGAAAATGGCGAAACTTGCTTGAATTTTTTGCTGTTTGAGTCACAGTGTTTTCACCAATGTCTGCAACACGGCGAGTAATTGTATTTGCACCCAAAGCTACATTTTCAAATTGTTTTGAATTTTCTGTGCAAAGTTCCTCAGTCACCTCTAACAACATTTATTCAGTGGACAAAAAGATCGTCGCGGGCCGGATAAAATGACCTCGCGGGCCGCATCCGGCCCGCGGGCCGTAGTTTGGAGACCCCTGATCTAATCAATAGTAATATAACTTTTACTTAGGCGCCCCACGTTTTTCATCGCTTATAGTAGAGTGATCGCTTGCATTATTGTGATGTATAGCATTTATTTTCTACTTTTTAGTTCAATCAGAAAACGTGGGTTTTTTTTTAACTTTTTTAATGATTATTATTGTGACTTTTAGCACTAAGGTCTTCAATTCATAATTTGTGAATTCGACACTATCCCCCCCCCTTCCTTCCTCCCCCCCCTCCCCTCCGTGAAAGCAGCCGTTTACAGTAGACAATGAAGAGATCAAGCAAAAAATTGTTACCTCCCCTTCGTTTCCAATCGTTTAAATACTAAATTATCTACCCCTAATAGCCGTCAATAATTCGCCCCGGCTCTAAGATTGTAACAATTCGTTGTGAACCAAATCTCACCATATTGGTAGGGGTGGGGGTGGTAGCGATAGAGGCGTAGCGAGGGGGGGGGGGCGGGGGAACATATGTCCCCGGGCGCCGACCTTAGGGGGCGCCAAATTGAAAGTTCGAGGGGAGGGGGGTTCAAATCGAAAGTTAGAGGGGGGTGTGCAAATGAAAAGTTCGAGGGGGGGTGCAAATCGAAAGTTTGAGGGGGGGGGGGGGTGGTGCTAATGAAAAGTTCGAGGGTGGGGTGCAAATCGAAAATTTGCTCCCGAGGGGGGCGCCAAATTGAGAGTATGTCCCCGGGCGCCGGGAAGGGTCGCTACGCCTCTGGGTAGCGATATGGTCTGTTGAATATGCCAGGAGAGCGAGAGAGGGGGAAGTTCGGCGTGCGTCTTGTCCCGCACGGTCCCCATAAAGAGAAAAAAAAATATATAGATTTAACTCTTTCCAATTAATCATTTAATTTAGTGGAATTATCATTTTTCTGTATATATTTTGCTTTTTTTGCCTTGGTGTCATCCCCATAAATAGTGTCACTCTAACCCCCCCCCCCCTCCCTCGCTACGCCTCTGGGAACAATAACCATGTCGTGTGCCACCGTGTCAATATTGTATGCTGCTAATCCATTTACCCAACCCCACGTGTCTTGGGAACGAACGGGAAATGATGTTGATCAACCTATTGCAATGTATTTCTCCCTAAACTGGCCATTTATCTAGTACTAAATATGCTAACAACTGCTACACGAAAGAGTTAGGTTAGATTAGATTAGGGTTACGTTACGTTATGTGAGGTTAGGTTAGGTTAGGTTAGGTTAGGTTGGGTTGGGTTGGGTTGGGTTGGGTTGGCTTGGCTTGGCTTGGCTTGGCTTGGCTTGGCTTGGCTTGGCTTGGCTTGGCTTGGCTTAGCTTAGCTTAGCTTAGCTTAGCTTAGCTTAGCTTAGCTTAGCTTAGCTTAGCTTAGCTTAGCTTAGCTTAGCTTAGCTTAGCTTAGCTTAGCTTAGCTTAGCTTAGCTTAGGTCAGGTCAGAAAAGGTCAGGTCAGGACAGGTCAGGTTTAATTATGTTATAAGATAATTTCAAATTACTCTCTCAAGGAAAATGTCTTCAAAACCAAGCAAGGAGAAAGACAGTCTGGAATTACCCGAAGAAAAATGTAGTGGCCAAGAGATGGCTCAGACGCTTGAATTGATTGCAGAAGCGTGTGATGAGTTCAGTGAAATCACAACGTTTCACGGTTTGCGTTTGGTCTGTGCTCGTAATCTTCATGTTTTCAGAAGGTTAGTGACACATGATGTAGCTGAACATGTAATAAAGCTGGAATAGCAAACATGTGTGCTTGCTGTAATTCGATAAAATCTAAATGTTGCACGGCATCAAACTGCTTTTTGATCGCAATCTCCATGCACTTAACAAAAGAAGGCATATAGAAAGAGCAATACTAGTTTTTGAAATCATGATATTATTATTTTCCTTTCATAGATTTTATCATTTATATTTATGTCGTTACAAAACTATGTAACCTTGAATATTTTGTCACCTTTCTGTTTTTCTACTAGGTCCATTTGGATCATTATTGTTTTAAGCTGTTTCGTGGCGCTTGCCCTGCAAGTTCAGCAGCAGGTCATTTACTTCTTGAGTCACCCCAAGACTATTTATGTCGAGAAGATGCCAGTCAAGTCCCTAGACTTTCCAGCCATTACCATTTGTAACGAAAATACTTTTAAGTAAGTGGAATACGCCGCTATTTAGTTGTTTTATTTTCTACTTATCAGTAATTCATAATTTGTGAGTTCGACACTACCCTCCCTCGCCTTAGTTTCAAATCGTCTAAACTAAATTATCTGCCTCCAATTGCCGTTACTAAATCGACCCGGCTCTACTGTTGTAAACTTTCCGCGTGAACCACAGCTCACCAGACTGGTGGGGGTGGTAGCGATATGGTCTGGTGGTGTCCCGCATGGTCTCCATGAAGAGAATTATACGTATAGATAGATTATATTTATTGGTATTTTTATTATTATTATTAGGCCTATTTTTGTTATTATTTTTTTTTTACAGTGCGTACCGTACCGGGTGACACCATGGCGGAAGTTGCAAAATATATATCAAAGATATGCTTTTAGCCAGTTTAATTAACGATTAATTACAGGTAATTCACCTGTATTAATAATGACTATAGATAAACACCTTTACTTTTAACTGTGCACACTTTAAAAATATCGACCGGGGGGGGGGGGGCGAGTGTAACACCAACTATAAACTTTACAAGGAATTAAGGTTTTGTTGAGTATTTTGAATAACTGATAAGTCAATAAGTCAATCAACGACCGGTGAAGGAGTGACACCGAAATCTAATAATTTACTATCAAAACGATTTATATAAAACATATTATAATGTGCGCAATAATAGAAGCAATAATCTAATATATTTTTTTTTAATTTTTTTTTATTTTTTTTTTCTAATATATAAAGTTCAATTCTGTATGTTTGTATGTTTGTAATCGAGGATTACAAAGGAATATAAGAAAAAGCGAAAAAAATGATACCTCGATGGATTCAAGTGTTAGGTTATTAAAGTGCTCATGGTCTAAATTTATGAGTTAAAAAATTACTATTGAAATTCTTTCAAAACAATTATCATTTTATGTACTTAGAATAATAATTTTCAATTACAAACATTACATTAAATTAAAAAACAGTGTACCAACGTTTATAAAATTTCTAAAATTGTGTCTGAAATGTTTTTGCATTTTGTCCTTTAGTTCTCATAACGTCCCTTGATTTGGAAAACACAGATACTCCCCCTTTTAAAAAAACCCCATTAAATCGGGGGAAGAAAGAATTTACTTTTTATTTCTTTGTTTTGGTGTTAGAAAACAAGTTAATAAAAAGTCTAGTGACAATTTAAGCGCAATGTCCTTATGTTATCCATAACAATTTTTAATTTTTTGTGACCGAACGAAAGGATATTTTTTTGCGCTAAAAAAAGACAACTATATTAACCTATATCAACGGAAATAGTTTTATTTTAACGAGTAGGCCTACACTATGCTCAGTTTAAAAAAAAGTAGTAAATATCATCCTAGGCCTACACGATGCTCAGTTTTAAAAAGTAGTAAATATTTTTTTGTGACCGAACGAAAGGATATTTTTGAAAACTTTCTTCGGCAATATTGTTCTAAATTATGGCAGAAATCGATTGGTAAATATTTCAAGTCGCTAAGTCGTCTGGTTGCCGAGATATGGGCCAAAATCTGCATTTTTTCGAGGTTTTTTTGGCTTTTCCGGGAAATCCAGGAAGGAATTCCGGGAATTTTTTTGGCCCACAATCATCCTCGGAACTTGTTTAACATATTTGCTTTGGAACTAGTCCTCGATATTGCTTCGTTGAGGAGGAGATACGACTTAAAGCTGCGGACACACATCCATCCATCCATCCATCCATCCATCACCAGAAATGACGAGTTAATAATCGCAATTGTCCAGTATGGAAATTGCGCTAAAAAAATAATTACATAATTAGCGGGGGTCGATTAAGTGCAATGTCGTTGGTATTTTAACACTGCCTTTTATTTATTCTATTCACTGAACATACTGTTTACTAATTATTTTTTAAAATCAATAACATTTAATAAGCCAGGTCCTACAAATCCTATATGTTTATTTCTTTACATTTACGGATAAGCTTGGAGTATTATAATTTTGTTTAATAAATTGAAACAGGCGCGTCCGCCGTCACCCCTGCACGGTTCGATTTGGCGCCCTGGGCTATCTTGTGAGCGCTATGCTGCATAATTTCGTTTTAAACAGTGCGATAGACTATGGATAAGAAATGTTACTATGGTCTTTAAGTTAATCGAATCCGGGCGCCCTCTGGCACCCCGACAGGGTGCTATTTGGCGCTCCGGGCCTATCGTGTTCGCTATGGTACCTACGTTTGCGTAAGTGAGTTCAAAAGGCTATGAATAAGATGGGTACTATAGTTGTTTACTAAGTTGAATCAGACGGTTACGCCGCACGTCGTCATGGTGCGATTTGGCGCCCCAGGCTAGACTCAGGGGCGGAACTACAGTGCCGCCAGACCCCGCAATGCGGGGGGGCCCACGCCATTTAGGGGCCCAGAGCCGACCATAATACATTTTTTTATAGTTAAAAAAAGTAAATTTTCTTTCATTTTTGACTTGATAGTTGTTTTGTAAAAAATTACCGTAGCTGCGGTTGGATTATCTTTATTCTATAGACACCACCCCACGCTCTTGTTTCTTCTTTTTCCCTTTGTTTTTAAACAACTTTGAAAGCCGAGTCTTTCTCCTACAATTAAACTTATCAAAGATAAGCACATGTTCAAACCACTTCCATGGCTTATTTCCCTTTTTTAAAAAATAGTCAAATAAGGGTGATCATAAGCTCCTTTTAATAGATTTGTACTAAACAAATTAAAAAGCAATTACTTCTCTAAATTATTATTTTTTTAATAAGTTATTACTAAAGAATGATATTGTATAAAAGGGAAATGTATTGAAATGTATTAAATCAATAATATTTTAAACATTAATAATATAACTACAAAAAAAACATAAAAATAAACATAACACGAGACACCATTACTTATACAAAGCTTTCATATTTTATATTATTTTGACCGACAGGATGATAAAAGGGCTTCTATCAAAAATTAATTAAAACTGATTTTCACAAAACACGCTAATGCACTTACACACATGACATGATGTTGAATTTTTTTTTTATTGATGTTTTTCCAATCCCGAACAGGACAGCTATGAGTATCATATGTTCGTATTTTGTGATTGCATATATATATATATATATATATATATATATATATATATATATATATATATATATATATATATATATATATGGGGGGGCCTAAAAAATTTTTTTGCGGGGTGGCCCTTTTTTTCTAGTTCCGCCACTGGCTAGACTGTGGTATTATTAAATTTTCATTTATACTGCTAGTAGTAGTATTGGTATTATTAAATTTTCAATTATACGCCTAGTAGTAGTATTGGTATTATTAAATTTTCATTTATACTGCTAGTAGTAGTATTGGTATTATTAAATTTTCATTTATACGCCTAGTAGTAGTATTGGTATTATTAAATTTTCATTTATACGCCTAGTAGTAGTATTGGTATTATTAAATTTTCATTTATACGCCTAATAGTAGTATTGGTATTATTACATTTTCATTTATACGCCTAGTAGTAGTATTGGTATTATTAAATTTTCATTTATACGCCTAGTAGTAGTATTGGTATTATTACATTTTCATTTATACGCCTAGTAGTAGTATTGGTATTATTAAATTTTCATTTATACTGCTAGTAGTAGTATTGGTATTATTAAATTTTCATTTATACTGCTAGTAGTAGTATTGGTATTATTAAATTTTCATTTATACGCCTAGTAGTAGTATTGGTATTATTACATTTTCATTTATACGCCTAGTAGCAGTATTGGTATTATTACATTTTCATTTATACACCTAGTAGTAGTATTGGTATTATTAAATTTTCATTTATACGCCTAGAATAAAAATGGTGATTCATTTAAAATTATGAGATGTTCTCAAAAGAATTTCAGCTGCTTACCAGAGGGGGTATTTTAACGTGATTAAGAAAATGATTGAAGAAAACCTGTCCCAAGATGACGTAGACTTAGCGGAAGTGGGAAACCTTAGCCTGGATGAGCTGCACTACCAAGTTGGAAATCGGATGGAAACCATGTTGCTTAGGTAACCGTTGGCAAGACTTTTGTAGAGATGAATACTTGTTTTGGTTATTGTCGAATTGGTTGAGTTTGGTAATTTTGTCGTCAGGTGCAAGTGGAGCACGAATGAGAAATGTTCGGCAACAAACTTTACTACTCAGCTGACTGATCAGGGTCTATGTCACACCTTTAACGGCCCTCTGTCAGATCGATCTTTGACAGTTCAAACACCAGGTGAGTTCATTAAACACATGACGTGACGTAGCATGGCGTAACGTGACATGCTTTGACATAGCGTGATATAAAGTGACACAACATCATTTGATATGATGCGTGGCGTGGCGTGATGTAGCCTAACCTAACCTAACGTAAGGTTAAATGAATCAACAACAAATGTATTTTTGCACATCATTTCATTCAATAGCCGCATGGTAATAAATCGAGCGATAAAACACAAAATAAACTAGCACTAAACGTTAATTCAAAACAAACTCTGACTACTCACAATATTAACTACAACAACAATAATAAATCTGTCTGAAATTTTAGGGGCGTCTAAAGCTCTCCAGTTGACCTTGAATGTTGAAGAATATGAAAGGATGTCAGGCTCGCATGTCGCCTCAGGCATTCATCTTTTGGTTCACCACAGACGGGAATATCCGCTGGTCGAAAGACTAGGTCAAGCTGTGGCCACAGGCAGTCATACCTTTATTGCCCTCTCGGAGATTAAGGTTAGACATAACCCTAACTCAATAGCCACAATGTCACACAACCCTATACCCATGGCCACAATGTCACACAACCCTATACCCATGGCCACAATGTCACACAACCCTATACCCATGGCCCCAATGTCACACAACCCTATACCCATGGCCTCAATGTTACACAACCCTATACCCACAATGTCACACAACCCTATACCCATGGCCACAATGTCACACAACCCTATACCCATGGCCACAATGTCACACAACCCTATACCCATAGCCACAATGTCACACAACCCTATACCCATGGCCACAATGTCACACAACCCTATACCCATGGCCACAATGTCACACAACCCTATACCCATGGCCACAATGTCACACAACCCTATACCCATGGCCACAATGTTACACAACCCTATACCCCCAATGTCACACAACCCTATACCCATGGCCACAATGTCACACAACCCTATACCCATGGCCACAATGTCACACAACCCTATACCCATGGCCACAATGTCACACAACCCTATACCCCCAAGGTCACACAACCCTATACCCATGGCCACAATGTCACACAACCCTATACCCATGGCCACAATGTCACACAACCCTATATCCATGGCCACAATGTCACACAACCCTATATCCATGGCCACAATGTCACACAACCCTATACCCATGGCCACAATGTCACACAACCCTATACCCATGGCCACAATGTCACACAACCCTATACCCATGGCCACAATGTTACACAACCCTATACCCATGGCCACAATGTCACACAACCCTATACCCATGGCCACAATGTCACACAACCCTATACCCACAATGTCACACAACCCTATACCCACAATGTCACACAACCCTATACCCATGGCCACAATGTCACACAACCCTATACCCATGGCCCCAATGTCACACAACCCTATACCCACAATGTCACACAACCCTATACCCATGGCCACAATGTCACACAACCCTATACCCATGGCCACAATGTCACACAACCCTATACCCATGGCCCCAATGTAACACAACCCTATACCCCCAATGTCACACAACCCTATACCCATGGCCACAATGTCACACAACCCTATACCCATGGCCACAATGTCACACAACCCTAACCCCATCGCCACAATGTCACACAACCCTATACCCATGGCCACAATGTCACACAACCCTATACCCATAGCCACAATGTCACACAACCCTATACCCATGGCCACAATGTCACACAACCCTATACCCATGGCCACAATGTCACACAACCCTATACCCATAGCCACAATGTCACACAACCCTATACCCATGGCCACAATGTTACACAACCCTATACCCATGGCCACAATGTTACACAACCCTATACCCATGGCCACAATGTCACACAACCCTATACCCATGGCCACAATGTCACACAACCCTATACCCATGGCCCCAATGTCACACAACCCTATACCCATGGCCACAATGTCACACAACCCTATATCCATGGCCACAATGTCACACAACCCTATATCCATGGCCACAATGTCACACAACCCTATACCCATGGCCACAATGTCACACAACCCTATACCCATGGCAACAATGTCTCACAACCCTATACCCATGGCAACAATGTCACACAACCCTATACCCATGGCCACAATGTCACACAACCCTATACCCATGGCCACAATGTCACACAACCCTATACCCATGGCCACAATGTCACACAACCCTATACCCACAATGTCACACAACCCTATACCCACAATGTCACACAACCCTATACCCACAATGTCACACAACCCTATACCCATGGCCACAATGTCACACAACCCTATACCCATGGCCACAATGTCACACAACCCTATACCCATGGCCACAATGTTACACAACCCTATACCCACAATGTCACACAACCCTATACCCATGGCCACAATGTCACACAACCCTATACCCATGGCCACAATGTCACACAACCCTATACCCATGGCCACAATGTCACACAACCCTATACCCACAATGTCACACAACCCTATACCCATGGCCACAATGTCACACAACCCTATACCCATGGCCACAATGTCACACAACCCTATACCCATGGCCCCAATGTCACACAACCCTATACCCATGGCCACAATGTCACACAACCCTATACCCACAATGTCACACAACCCTATACCCATGGCCACAATGTCACACAACCCTATACCCACAATGTCACACAACCCTATACCCATGGCCACAATGTCACACAACCCTATACCCATGGCCACAATGTCACACAACCCTATACCCATGGCCACAATGTCACACAACCCTATACCCATGGCCCCAATGTCACACAACCCTATACCCATGGCCACAATGTCACACAACCCTATACCCATGGCCACAATGTCACACAACCCTATACCCATGGCCACAATGTTACACAACCCTATACCCACAATGTCACACAACCCTATACCCATGGCCACAATGTCACACAACCCTATACCCATAGCCACAATGTCACACAACCCTATACCCATGGCCACAATGTCACACAACCCTATACCCACAATGTCACACAACCCTATACCCATGGCCACAATGTCACACAACCCTATACCCATGGCCACAATGTCACACAACCCTATACCCATGTCCCCAATGTCACACAACCCTATACCCATGGCCACAATGTCACACAACCCTATACCCACAATGTCACACAACCCTATACCCATGGCCACAATGTCACACAACCCTATACCCATGGCCACAATGTCACACAACCCTATACCCATGGCCACAATGTCACACAACCCTATACCCATGGCCACAATGTCACACAACCCTATACCCATGGCCACAATGTCACACAACCCTATACCCATGGCCACAATGTCACACAACCCTATACCCATGGCCACAATGTCACACAACCCTATGCCCTATACCTATGGCCACAATTTCACACAACCCTATACCCATGGCCACAAAAAGGCGGTTAGTTCTGATGTCCTTGGTGGTAACAAAAGGCTGACACCAACAAAAGGCCGACGGGTAAAAGGACGACAACTAAGAGGCCGACATAAAAAAAGCCGACTGGACATAAGGCTTACAAGTTTTAATAAAACAACTAACTCCAATTATAAATCTGTTTAGTATTTATTTAGACCAAGTTACATAGTGATGAATTTAAAGTTCAACATAGGACCTAGTATGCTATGCCACGTAAATAGATATTGGGGTTATCAATCAAAAGTAATTATCAAAATTGTTTAAAATCAGAGAATATTAAAAAGAATTTAAAAAAACAGCTTAAAATTTAGATGGTTTAAAATATTATGTAGATAAATTAATTTTTGTAATAGACGTACACTTACTCACACACCTTCACACATTCACACACATACACACACACACACACACACATATATATATATATATATATATATATATATATATATATATATATATATATATATATATATATATATATATATATATATATATATATATATATATATATATATATATATATATATATATATATATATATATATACTAGCCGTCCCGGCCAGGCTCTGCACTGGCCTCTGTGAAAGACCGATCAGTAAAGGACCGTTACTTGTGTGTTTATTAAACAGCATATACCCGGCATTGACGTTTGACCAAAGAACACATAACCCTAAACCAAATTTGGCGTAATTGGATGCCTAATTAATTTTACAATAACTGAGTCATTAGTCTACAATTTTAACTCCTTACCAAAATCGACAAAGGTTATGGTATGGTTTATGGTATGGTTAATGGTATAGGCTATGGTATGGTGTGTGTTATGGTTTATGAATAATGGTATGGGTTATGGTATGAATGATGGTATGGGTTATGGTATGTTGTGTGATATGGTTTATGGTATGAATGATGGTGTTGGTTAAATTATAAATGATGGTATGGACCAAATTACATTTTAGGAGCAACGACTTGGACGGCCGTATGCCAACTGTAGTTCGGGCCACTTGTCGTATGTCCCTAACGACACATACATCTATGCCAGATCTTCGTGTGAGACGGAATGTTATGTTTCCTACGTGGTAGCCAAATGTGGCTGCAAGGATTTCTATATGCCAGGAGGTAACGAATGTTAGTTGCTTGTGTAAGATATAACAACGCGAGTTGCTTCAAATAAGATATAAAAGTTTTTAGAAGCAAGTCATCGTTTTCTTCTAAATTTGAGGTGGGAGGGGGAGTAGGGGTTAAGTAGCGTTACTTGGTGTTCGGTAATGTTTCAGGTTTCAAATTTGTGTTTAATATATGCCAGCAATCTTTATATTTTTACTTTTTTGTTTAAAGAGTATACACAAAGTATTGTAATCTTGAGTAAACAGAAAGTATTGTAAACGAGCAGAAAAACGAAACGAAATTTGAGTAGTTTTCGTCGTTCTACACACTAGCTAGTGTGAGTGTGTGTCAATCAGCTAGTGTGAGTGTGTGTCAGTGTGAGTGGGTGTCAGTGTGTGTGTGTCAATTAGCTAGTGTGAGTGTGTGTCAATTAGCTAGTGTGTGTGTCAATTAGCTAGTGTGAGTGTGTGTCAATCAGCTAGTGTGAGTGTGTGTCAATTAGCTAGTGTGAGTGTGTGTCAATTAGGTAGTGTGAGTGTGTGTCAATCAGCTAGTGTGAGTGTGTGTCAATTAGCTAGTGTGAGTGTGTGTCAATTAGCTAGTGTGAGTGTGTCAGTGGGAGTGTGTGTCAATTAGCTAGTGTGAGTGTGTGTCAATTAGCTAGTGTGAGTGTGTGTCAGTGTGTGTGTGTGTCAATCAGCTAGTGTGAGTGTGTGTCAATCAGCTAGTGTGAGTGTGTGTCAGTGTGAGTGTGTGTCAATCAGCTAGTGTGAGTGTGTGTCAATTAGCTAGTGTGAGAGTGTGTCAATTAGCTAGTGTGAGTGTGTGTCAGTGTGAAAGTGTGTCAGTGTGAGTGTGTGTCAATTAGCTAGTGTGAATTTGTGTCAATCAGCTAGTGTGAGTGTGTGTCAATCAGCTAGTGTGAGTGTGTGTCAGTGTGTGTTTGTGTCAATTAGCTAGTGTGAGTGTGTGCCAGTGTGAGTGTGTCAGTGTGAGTGTGTGTTAGTGTGTGTGTGTCAATTAGCTAGTGTGAATGTGTGTCAATTAGCTAGTGTGAGTGTGTGTCAATCAGCTAGTGTGAGTGTGTGTCAGTGTGTGTGTTTGTGTCAATTAGCTAGTGTGAATGTGTGTCAATTAGCTAGTGTGAGTGTGAGTGTGTGTGTGTGTGTTTCAATTAGCTAGTGTGAGTGTGTGTCAATCAGCTAGTGTGAGTGTGTGTCAGTGTGTGTGTTTGTGTCAATTAGCTAGTGTGAGTGTGTGTCAATTAGCTAGTGTGAGTGTGAGTGTGTGTGTATGTGTGTTTCAATTAGCTAGTGTGATTGTGTGTCAATTAGCTAGTGTGAGTGTGTGTCAATTAGCTAGTGTGAGTGTGTGTCAGTGTGAGTGTGTGTCAATTAGCTAGTGTGAGTGTGTGTCAAATAGCTAATGTGAGTGTATGTCAATTAGCTAGAGTGAGTGTGTGTCAGTGTGAGTGTGTGTCAATTAGCTAGTGTGAGTGTGTGTCAATCAGCTAATGTGAGTGTATGTCAATTAGCTAGAGTGAGTGTGTGTCAGTGTGAGTGTGTGTCAGTGTGAGTGTGTGTCAATTAGCTAGTGTGAGTGTGTGTCAGTGTGAGTGTGTGTCAGTGTGAGTGTGTGTCAATTAGCTAGTTTGAGTATCCTTTCGATGATGTTGATTAAATTTTATATACAAATATTATATATTTTTACTTTCTCGTATATACGAAGTATAGAGAAAGTCTTATAATCGTGCAAAAAAAAAATCGAGATTTTTACAAATCTCGACGTTTTACACCTCACTGATACGGAAAAACATAATTTTGCAATCTTGTCCGTATGTCTGTGTGTCTGTCTGTCTGTGTGTGTGTGTCCGTGTATAAACACGATTACTTGAGTACCGTTACAGCTAGGTTGATGACATTTCATATATAAATATTTTATCAAAATCGTAGATCCGTATCAACTTTTGAGCGATTTCCGATAACCGGAAGTGGTACTTTTCCTACTTTGAATTTTTCAAAAGCCTATAACTTGAGTACTATTTCAGATAGATAAATGAAATTTCACATGTAAGTAAAAGATCTAATTCTCTACCTTCTGTTAAATTTTGAGTAATTTCAGTTGACCGGAAGTAGTAATTTACGCTATTTCCGATTTCTCAAAAAATTAATGTAAATTTTTAAAGTACTAATAATATTGCGCACTATTATGCACTTTTTTTATTTCGCGTTCACTTGGTGTGCAATTCTTTTGTCTACGAGATTTTATTCTAAAACTTTAAGTATTTTAAATGGATTAAAAATCATGTCTATAGCCCGAGTTCCCATCCCCTGTTATTTTATATAAGAATATTCGAGAAAGTTTAGGGGAGATCACTCCCGGTTTATTTAAAAAGTTTTCTGTCAACTTTTGAGCGATATCATGGAACCTGAAGTGATACTTACTCTTTTTCCGGTCACTCTAAAGCTTAAACCTTGAGTATCATTACAGCTATGTAGATAAGAATTAGAGGTAGCATTGGGAGGTTTAACTTTTGTATAGTTTCCGGTAAACCGAGGTGGTAAGTTGCTCTATTTCCGTGGGCACACGATAACTTGGATAATGGATACTATTTCAGTTCGGTAGACGAAATTTCATGTATAAGTATAAAATCTTATACTTGGATTACTCTCATATTTTGAGTGACCTACAATATACGTAAGTGGTACTTTACTATTTTTCGGTTTCTAAAATTATACAGATAATAAAAGTACCGATTCAGTTAGATGAACGAAATTATTTTTTTTTCTCTATTTTTTTCCGCCTCAGACATGTAATTTACAGCGTCAGTTGTGTGTTCGCTTTAGTATTACAGTTTTCATCATCGGTTTGTGAGGACTAATACAGATTTACGAACGAAATTAATAAATATGCATAAGATCTTATTTACCAGATTTTGTCAAACTTTGATTGATTTCCGGTAATTGGATGTAGTACTTAACGGTATTTCCAGTTTCTCAAAAAATTCCTCCTCATAGATCAAGACTGCTACATAAATTAATTAGATGTTCAATTAACTTTTAAGAACTGATTAAAGTTTCCTTATAAAGCTCTGATTTTTCTTTCTACTAAGCACACATTCTTTCATTCATTTGGTGCGCAATTACTTTTTCCCACTCGATTCTATTCTATTTAAAATAAAGCTAGAGTGATCTCCCCTAAACTTTCTCGAATGTTCTTATGTAACACTATAGGAGATGGCAATTCGGGATATAGACATGCTTTTTAATAAATGTTTAAATACTTTAACTTCTAAAAATATAATAAAATCTCATTGAAAAAAAGAACTGCGCACCAAGTGAACAACAAACACCGCTTGTATAATAGTGTGGAACATTAGTGCTTTATAAATTCGTATGTGTTTTTTGAGAAATCGGAAATATAGTAGTACTACTTACGGTCACCGGAAATAACTCAAAATCTGAAAGAAAACAGAAAATTAGATTTTTTTTTTACTTTTGAAAAACCGAAAGTAGAATAAATTCCACTATCTGTTACCGGAAATCGCTGAACAGTTGAAACATAACTACAAATTTGATGTAATACTTATATATTAAATTTCATCACCCAAACTGTATCGGTACTCAAGTTATCGTGTTGACAGTCACACACACACACAGAGAGAGAGAGAGAGAGAGAGAGAGAGAGAGAGAGATACAGACAGAATTGTCATGCCCTATTTCTCCAACTCCATTTCGCATACAACGCCGAAATTTTGATAAGTCTGAATTTAGATTACAACACTTCCTCAATACTCTGTATACGAGAAAAAATGTCTGTAATATCCCTTAATGTTATAAAAGAATATACGAGAAAGTTTAGGAGAGATAACTCACGTTTTATTTTTAGGGTTTCTATTTAAATGTACCACACTCTGTCTAATAGTATTTAAAATTCTAAACAGATGTTCGAGTCTGCAATTTAAATCAATACGTCCAGTGTTTAAAGACTATACAACGTAAGTGCATACCAATTACTGACATTTACTGACATCTATCGATAAGACTTGCATTGATATGCCGCGGGAATGACGTAGGCTAACTACTGGAGTCAAAGGTCAAATTGCATTAGGGTAATCATGTGACCCAGAGAGCCCCAATATCCTAAGCTTTGGTTGGTTGCTATAGTCGATGGTTGGCTGATACAGTCGATGGTTGGCTGATACAGTCGATGGTTGGCTGATACAGTCGATGGTTGGCTGCTACAATCGATGGTTGGCTGATACAGTCGATGGTTGGCTGATACAATCGATGGTTGGCTGCTACAATCGATGGTTGGCTGATACAGTCGATGGTTGGCTGATACAGTCGATGGTTGGCTGATACAGTCGATGGTTGGCTGATACAGTCGATGGTTGGCTGATACAATCGATGGTTGGCTGATACAATCGATGGTTGGCTGATACAGTCGATGGTTGGCTGATACAGTCGATGGTTGGCTGATACAGTCGATGGTTGGCTGATACAGTCGATGACCGAAGTGAACCAGAGCACATTCTCGCATACTTGAAATAACGAGACGGCGCCGGTGTTGTGGTCAGCATGGGCACCACAAGCTGGTGTTGTAGTGTGTTGTGGGCAGCATGGGGCAGCATGGGGCACCACAAGCTGGTGTTGTAGTGTGTTGTGGGCAGCATGGGGCACTACAAGCTGGTGGTGTAGTGTGTTGTGGGCAGCATGGGCACCACAAGCTGGTGTTGTAGTGTGTTGTGGGCAGCATGGGGCACCACAAGCTGGTGTTGTAGTGTGTTGTGGGCAGCATGGGGCACCACAAGCTGGTGTTGTAGTGTGTTGTGGGCAGCATGGGGCACCATGGGGCACCACAAGCTGGTGTTGTAGTGTGTTGTGGGCAGCATGGGGCACCACAAGCTGGTGTTGTAGTGTGTTGTGGGCAGCATGGTGCACCATGGGGCACCACAAGCTGGTGTTGTAGTGTGTTGTGGGCAGCATGGGGCACCACAAGCTGGTGTTGTAGTGTGTTGTGGGCAGCATGGGGCACCACAAGCTGGTGTTGTAGTGTGTTGTGGGCAGCATGGGGCACCATGGGGCACTACAAGCTGGTGTTGTAGTGTGTTGTGGGCAGCATGGGGCACCACAAGCTGGTGTTGTATTGTGTTGTGGGCAGCATGGGGCACTACAAGCTGGTGTTGTAGTGTGTTGTGGGCAGCATGGGGCACCACAAGCTGGTGTTGTAGTGTGTTGTGGGCAGCATGGGGCACCATGGGGCACCACAAGCTGGTGTTGTAGTGTGTTGTGGGCAGCATGGGGCACCACAAGCTGGTGTTGTAGTGTGTTGTGGGCACCATGGGGCACCACAAGCTGGTGTTGTAGTGTGTTGTGGGCACCATGGGGCACCACAAGCTGGTGTTGTAGTGTGTTGTGGGCACCATGGGGCACCACAAGCTGGTGTTGTAGTGTGTTGTGGGCAGCATGGGGCACTACAAGCTGGTGGTGTAGTGTGTTGTGGGCAGCATGGGCACCACAAGCTGGTGTTGTAGTGTGTTGTGGGCAGCATGGGGCACCATGGGGCACCACAAGCTGGTGTTGTAGTGTGTTGTGGGCACCATGGGGCACCACAAGCTGGTGTTGTAGTGTGTTGTGGGCAGCATGGGGCACCATGGGGCACCACAAGCTGGTGTTGTAGTGTGTTGTGGGCAGCATGGGGCACCATGGGGCACCACAAGCTGGTGTTGTAGTGTGTTGTGGGCAGCATGGGGCACCACACGCTGGTGTTGTAGTGTGTTGTGGGCAGCATGGGGCACTACAAGCTGGTGTTGTAGTGTGTTGTGGGCAGCATGGGGCACTACAAGCTGGTGTTGTAGTGTGTTGTGGGAACCATGGGGCACCACAAGCTGGTGTTGTAGTGTGTTGTGGGCAGCATGGGGCACCACAAGCTGGTGTTGTAGTGTGTTGTGGGCAGCATGGGGCACCATGGGGCACCACAAGCTGGTGTTGTAGTGTGTTGTGGGCAGCATGGGGCACCACAAGCTGGTGTTGTAGTGTGTTGTGGGCAGCTTGGGGCACCACACGCTGGTGTTGTAGTGTGTTGTGGGCAGCATGGGGCACTACAAGCTGGTGTTGTAGTGTGTTGTGGGCAGCATGGGGCACTACAAGCTGGTGTTGTAGTGTGTTGTGGGAACCATGGGGCACCACAAGCTGGTGTTGTAGTGTGTTGTGGGCAGCATGGGGCACCATGGGGCACCACAAGCTGGTGTTGTAGTGTGTTGTGGGCAGCATGGGGCACCACAAGCTGGTGTTGTAGTGTGTTGTGGGCAGCATGGGGCACCATGGGGCACCACAAGCTGGTGTTGTAGTGTGTTGTGGGCAGCATGGGGCACCATGGGGCACCACAAGCTGGTGTTGTAGTGTGTTGTGGGCACCATGGGGCACCATGGGGCACCACAAGCTGGTGTTGTAGTGTGTTGTGGGCACCATGGGGCACCACAAGCTGGTGTTGTAGTGTGTTGTGGGCAGCATGGGGCACCACAAGCTGGTGTTGTAGTGTGTTGTGGGCAGCATGGGGCACCATGGGGCACCACAAGCTGGTGTTGTAGTGTGTTGTGGGCAGCATGGGGCACCACAAGCTGGTGTTGTAGTGTGTTGTGGGCAGCATGGGGCACCACAAGCTGGTGTTGTAGTGTGTTGTGGGCAGCATGGGCACCACAAGCTGGTGTTGTAGTGTGTTGTGGGCAGCATGGGGCACCACAAGCTGGTGTTGTAGTGTGTTGTGGGCAGCATGGGGCACCATGGGGCACCACAAGCTGGTGTTGTAGTGTGTTGTGGGCAGCATGGGGCACCATGGGGCACCACAAGCTGGTGTTGTAGTGTGTTGTGGGCAGCATGGGGCACCACAAGCTGGTGTTGTAGTGTGTTGTGGGCAGCATGGGGCACCATGGGGCACCACAAGCTGGTGTTGTAGTGTGTTGTGGGCAGCATGGGGCACCATGGGGCACCACAAGCTGGTCTTTTAGTGTGTTGTGGGCAGCATGGGGCACCACAAGCTGGTGTTGTAGTGTGTTGTGGGCACCATGGGGCACCACAAGCTGGTGTTGTAGTGTGTTGTGGGGAGCATGGGGCACTACAAGCTGGTGTTGTAGTGTGTTGTGGGCAGCATGGGGCACCATGGGGCACCACAAGCTGGTGTTGTAGTGTGTTGTGGGCAGCATGGGGCACCACAAGCTGGTGTTGTAGTGTGTTGTGGGCACCATGGGGCACCACAAGCTGGTGTTGTAGTGTGTTGTGGGCAGCATGGGGCACCACAAGCTGGTGTTGTAGTGTGTTGTGGGCAGTATGGGGCACCATGGGGCACCACAAGCTGGTGTTGTAGTGTGTTGTGGGCAGCATGGGCACCACAAGCTGGTGTTGTAGTGTGTTGTGGGCAGCATGGGGCACCACAAGCTGGTGTTGTAGTGTGTTGTGGGCAGCATGGGGCACCATTGGGGCACCACAAGCTGGTGTTGTAGTGTGTTGTGGGCAGCATGGGGCACCACAAGCTGGTGTTGTAGTGTGTTGTGGGCAGCATGGGGCACCACAAGCTGGTGTTGTAGTGTGTTGTGGGCAGCATGGTGCACCACAAGCTGGTGTTGTAGTGTGTTGTGGGCACCATGGGGCACCACAAGCTGGTGTTGTAGTGTGTTGTGGGCAGCATGGGGCACCACAAGCTGGTGTTGTAGTGTGTTGTGGGCAGCATGGGGCAGCATGGGGCACCACAAGCTGGTGTTGTAGTGTGTTGTGGGTAGAATGGGCACCATGGGGCACCACAAGCTGGTGTTGTAGTGTGTTGTGGGCAGCATGGGGCACCACAAGCTGGTGTTGTAGTGTGTTGTGGGCAGCATGGTGCACCATGGGGCACCACAAGCTGGTGTTGTAGTGTGTTGTGGGCAGCATGGGGCACCATGGGGCACCACAAGCTGGTGTTGTAGTGTGTTGTGGGCAGCATGGGGCACCATGGGGCACCACAAGCTGGTGTTGTAGTGTGTTGTGGGCAGCATGGGGCACCACAAGCTGGTGTTGTAGTGTGTTGTGGGCAGCATGGGGCACCACAAGCTGGTGTTGTAGTGTGTTGTGGGCAGCATGGGGCACCATGGGGCACCACAAGCTGGTGTTGTAGTGTGTTGTGGGCAGCATGGTGCACCACAAGCTGGTGTTGTAGTGTGTTGTGGGCACCATGGGGCACCACAAGCTGGTGTTGTAGTGTGTTGTGGGCAGCATGGGGCACCACAAGCTGGTGTTGTAGTGTGTTGTGGGCAGCATGGGGCAGCATGGGTCACCACAAGCTGGTGTTGTAGTGTGTTGTGGGCAGCATGGGCACCATGGGGCACCACAAGCTGGTGTTGTAGTGTGTTGTGGGCAGCATGGGGCACCACAAGCTGGGGTTGTAGTGTGTTGTGGGCAGCATGGTGCACCATGGGGCACCACAAGCTGGTGTTGTAGTGTGTTGTGGGCAGCATGGGGCACCATGGGGCACCACAAGCTGGTGTTGTAGTGTGTTGTGGGCAGCATGGGGCACCATGGGGCACCACAAGCTGGTGTTGTAGTGTGTTGTGGGCAGCATGGGGCACCACAAGCTGGTGTTGTAGTGTGTTGTGGGCACCATGGGGACCACAAGCTGGTGTTGTAGTGTGTTGTGGGCACCATGGGGCACCACAAGCTGGTGTTGTAGTGTGTTGTGGGCACCATGGGGCACCACAAGCTGGTGTTGTAGTGTGTTGTGGGCAACATGGGGCACCACAAGCTGGTGTTGTAGTGTGTTGTGGGCAGCATGGGGCACTACAAGCTGGTGTTGTAGTGTGTTGTGGGCAGCATGGGGCAGCATGGGGCACCACAAGCTGGTGTTGTAGTGTGTTGTGGGCAGCATGGGGCACCACAAGCTGGTGTTGTAGTGTGTTGTGGGCAGCATGGGGCACCACAAGCTGGTGTTGTAGTGTGTTGTGGGCAGCATGGGGCAGCATGGGGCACC